GCGCGTGGGAGCCAAGCAGTGGTCACACTGAGTTGAGGGAACAATGTGAGAATTGAGGTAGAGGCAGCTGTGGTCTGTGGGGCAGAGCACTGGGGAGGAGGGAGCTATGTAGAGGGCGAGCTGAAGCCTGGAGAAGGGTCCCTTTGAAAATTAAGCTGTGCACACATGTGGTAGGTCCCCTGAGGCTGGGCAGGGGGAACTACCGAGAAGCTGAACAATTGAGCTAGAGCAATCTTCTATCCATAAACTAGAAGCTCCAGAAAGACCATGGTTTAGAAGGAGGGAAAATGAACACAAATCACCCTAAAACAGCCTTCAGAAAGATCAAACTAAAATCAGCTGCCTTGTAGAACATAACTAAGGTTCTTGGAAATACACACACAAAAAACTTAGCACTCAGTAACATAAAGTTCACAATGTCCGGCATCCAACAAAAAATTACAAGACATTCAAAGACTCATACAAAGTATCAAGAAAATGTGACCCGTGAACAGCAAACAATAATTGAATAGAAAGACACTCACACGGGAGCGCAATGGCAGGAAGACCAGACAAGGACCATAAAACGTGTCACAGATTTGCTCCCATATGTTCTGTGATCTGAAGGAAAACAGAAGCAGTGAGGATGGAGAGGAAAGACATGTGAAAAGACTGGATTGAATCTCCAGAGATGACGAAGTGAAGATTTTGCTGAGTGAGTGGGATTGATGGCAGGTGAGACCGTGCGGAAGGAAAGATCATGGAGCTCAAAGGCACAGCTGTGGAATCGATCTACAGTGAAGTAGAAGAAAGGCTGGGAATGATGAAAAGCACCTTGGGGAGCTGAAGGGACTATGTCAGTGTAGCACCTGCATGATTGGAGTCACGGGACAGGAGAGAAATGGAGGGACGCTAAGAATACCTGAAGAATAAGGGCCCGAACCCCAGAGATCCAAGAAGCCCAACAAACTCCTGAGAGCAAAACCATGTACACGAGCACGTCCAAATGCAGCACACTCAAGTTTCCCAGAGACGGTAGAAGAGAATAAGAGCAGCCGTGGGGGGTGGGGGTGGGGGGGTGCCACGTCACACTGGGGGAGAAGAGTGAGTGCAGCCTGGGGCACCTGGGTGGCTCAGTCTGGTAAATGTCCGACTTCGGCTCAGGTCACGAGCTCCTGGTTTGTGAGTTCGAACCCCGTGTTGGGCTCTGTGCAGACAGCCCAGAGCCTGGAGCTGCTTCGGATTCTGTCTCTGTCTCTCTGTCTCTCTCTCTCTGTCTGCCCTCTCCCACTTGAGTTCTGTCTCTCTGTCTCAAGAATAAATAAGCATTAAAAAAAAAAAAAAAATGAGTGCAGTCTTCCTGAGACCATGCAAGTCACAAGACAAGGAGGGGCCACTCTAAAGCGCCAAAAGGAAAAACGCAACTGTCAGCCAGGAATTCTATATTCAGCAAATACATCCTTCAAAAACGAAGGTGAAATAAACCCTTTCCAGACAAAAGCAGAGAGAGTTCATCGCCAGCAGGCCTGCACTGTGAGAGGGGCCACAGGAAGTTGTTCAGGCAAATGGTGCCCGAGGGCGTCTTAGGTCTGTAGGAAGGAATACCAGGTGCTGGGGATGAACACGGAAGGGAGAACAAGAGACTTGACTCTCAACAGGTTTTAAAAAGGTAACTGTCCTTTGAGAGCCGGCACACCATACTGTATGGTTCAGACTGTGGAAGTAAAGCGTCCGGCTACGGTCGTTGACGGCCTGAGGGGAAGTGAGCCTGCCGTAGCCGGAGCCTTCCATCATCTGAGCTCGTGTGGCAGCAGTTAAAGGTATGTTGTGCTGAGTTGAAAATGCATATTGTGGATCCCATAGGCATGGTCACCACAGAACATTCGACCGAACAAGTATTACCAGTAAACCAACCGCAGTGGTAAAACAGAATCCTAAGAAGTAACTGGTCCAAATGTAGGCAGGAAAAGGGAGAGAAAGGAACAGCGATCAGATGGGACAAATAGAAAACGCACAGCAATATGGTGGATTTAAACCCAGTCACGCCGGTCATCACGGCAACATGTGGATGGTGTAAACACCCCAATAAAGACCAGAGGCGTCAGACTGGATGTAAAGCGAGACCCCCACGTGCTGAACACGAGAAAGTCACGTCCAGGCACGTGGTTAAGGTGAGAGGACGGAGAGCTGTTGACAGGTGGGTGGGCCTAGCAGGCACCGGTGTCTCTGGCTCAGTTGGAAGGTGGGGGACGCTGCAGGTTAGGGCTGCCGTTCCGCAGAACCAAACTCACACGGTCTGCGCACATGGATCCACGGGCGCCAGTGCAGCTCAGCACCCCTGTAGCTCCTGCCGTGTGTGAGGCCTGGCTTCCTGTCCACGTTCAGAGCAAACCTACCCGGCCTTCCCGCGTCCCATCCAGAGTGATCTTTAGACACGTAACCGAACAGGTCACTCCTCTGCTCGGCATCCTCAGTAGCTCCCCGTTTCCGAACACATGCCAGCGTCCTTCCAAGGGCCTCCAGGACCCTGCTGGGTTCCTGCTGGCCCACCTGACCACCACTTCCCCTGGCTCCCCTCCAGCCCCACTGGCCTCCTTGCCGGTCCTCAGACAGGCGGACATGTTCCTGGCTTAGGGCCTTGGCGACTGATATTTTGACTTTCTGGAATGTTCTCCCCTCAGGTATCCCTCACCCCCTCCGTGTCTGTTCAATGTCGTGTTTCCACGAGGCTTCCCCTGACACCCTGTGTGATGCTGCAGCCGGCCCCTCCCCGTCCCCCAACCCTGGCTCTCCTGGCCCCACCTGTTCATCTTTTCCCCAGCCCTACATAACATGCTCCTGCTGCTGGTGTCCTGTCTCGTCGAAAGTGGAAGGATCGCGAGGGCAGGACTTTGGCCAGTTCTGCTCACGGGCATGTGCCGAGTGTGTTTGTTAACCAAACACATTGTAAGTATGACCCAAAGGGCCACAGGGTGTTAGCAAGAAAGGTCCTGTGAGATGAGCCAGGCCAGCTCTCCCTCTGCAACCCATTTTACAGATGGGGAAGCCAAGGCATGAACGTCATGACCTAATGGCAGGACGGAGACTTGCGTTCTCCTGTGCGGTTGCTTATCTTTCCTGGGGGCTCGGAGGCAGAGAGGAGGGGATGTCATTTCCTGACATCGATGTACATGTTGCCCTGCCGTCCAGTGAGGGGGTGGGGTGATGCCACTCAAGGGTGCGGGAGAGGAAGGTCCGAGGGGTCAGGAGCCAGGGGACCAGGGTTTCCTGCACGGACTCGACAAGCTATTCAGCCGTCTGCTTTAGCTTCCTGATGTGTTACATGGAGGGAAAGGGTGCAAGCCCCTGTGTGACCTCAACCCCCAGACCTCCTCGGGGCTTCTAAGGGTGGGTGAGCTGGGCTTTGTGAAAGCACTTCTGGAAGCCGGGAACTTTCCACAAATGTGGTGAGAGCAGGAGAGAAACTTACACGTGGTGGCAGGCTCCTCCTTCCCAGACGGGCACAGCCTTGGTCTCGGAGAAGAGCCTAGTGCAGGGCTGCGGCACCTTGGTGCAGGCTGCCGGCACAGAGGGAGGGAGAGGGCCGAGGCTTGGCACTGAGGTCGCACCCCTCCCACAAGTGCGGGGTTGCCCTGGCTCCTGGCAGCCCCAGGCTGTCGGCTCTGCCCGGCCACGGGGGTGAGCAGCTGCTGTGGAGACTTGGTCCACGCCCCACCCCCCCCACCTTCAGTCCCAGATTCTTCTTAGTGGGGGAGGCCGGTGGCTCTTCTCCCTCCTGCTACCATGTCTGGCTCTGGGGATGCTCCATGTCCCTTGCTTTCTGACTGTCCCCAGCCTCCCCCGTTCTCTGGGCAGCGCCCCTCACCCTGGTGCTTCGGAACTCACTGCGCCTCAATATCCCTACCCGGGCACCGGAGTCTGGGGCACCAAAGCTGGGCCCCCGTCCTGGCACCTGGAGGTCGGAGGTCCTTGTGGCAAGCCCACCCTGGGCCCAGGGTTCCCATCACAGTCGGCTGTGACAGGTGATTTGAGACCTGGGTCCCCACAGGAGGGAGCGGCCCCCGACTTACCCAGCTCACAGCGTCTGCCTTTGAACCCTGGGCTGCAGTCACAGCTGTGGGTGTCCACACCTGGCACGCAGGTGCCTCCGTTCTGACAGGGGTTTTCTGAACAGTTCCCAGGAGTGTCTGCGAACAAGCCATGAGCAGTTAGTTGCCGGGACCCCAGAGGAAGGGCTGCCAACATTGCCCCGTGGCTGCCTCCTGCCGTCCGCAGCGCTCCCGGGCCCTGGGGGTGGTCCGCTGTCAAGCGGTCCGAGAGCAGAGGTGGGAAGGTTGGCCTCGGTGTGCTTGTCCCTGAGCCTGCACCTCCAGGGAGGGGGATGACTCTGGGGCCCGCAGTACAGAGACACTCCAGCCCCGCTCCGGCCTGCGGTCCCTGCCGCTGCCACCCTGCACTTGGTCCCTGCACCCTGCCCCCTCCTTGTCCTCCAGTGCCTGTCCCCAAGTCCCCAGCCAGCCCTCTGCAGGCCTCCATGCCGGTGTCTTCCCCTGCATCCTCACCGCACTGCTGGCGGCTGGAGGCAGAGGGTGTCGGTGCTGCTGCCCGGGAGGGCCAGGCCCGGCTTTTTCCCTTAGACCTGTCTTTTGTTTTCTTTTTCTTTAGCTTTGTCAAGACGCCTGTTGTTTTCCTTTTTAACTTAAAAAATTGAGGAACACGAAAGAGTGAGAACTGTGCGCAACCACCACTTCCAGTAGCAGAAGGCCCGTCCCCTCTGCATCTCCTCCCACGCCCCCTTCTCAAGACCTCCTCGCGGCTGGGTGCTGACCGCAGGCCTCACACCTCCCTTGGGCCCTCCTGGCCCTTGGGGGCTCTGTGCTGGCCGGTTCTCATTCCTCACTGTATCTACGCGACTTTTCCTCCTTCCTCCCCTGACTCTGCTCTGGGACTTGTCTTCTTGCCTTTCCTGGTGTGCTAAAGGTGAGTCGTCAGCTTTTACGAGAAAGTTTTATTGTTGAAAACTTAGAAATCTGTAAAATGTCGAGTATGAAGAGCCCCATGAGCCATCGCTCAGCTTCAGGGATCTTTGGTATCTTGCCAATCTCATTTAATCTATTCCCATTTCTCACTGAAGAATTTTGAAGCAGTTCACAGAAACCATTTCACCTATAAATATAGCAGGTGTCTGATATGTACAGATTTTTATAAATTTTTACGTAAGCACAACGCTATTTCTGCGAAATCAGCAGTAGCTCCTTAGTACTGTAAGAAATCGCAGTCCTTGTTCAGGTTTTCCCTGATCATCTTAAAAATGTCATTTCCAGCTGGTCTGATCTAATTAGGAGTCCTAAGGACACACTGCCTTAGTTTGATGTATCTCTCTTTTAATCTGTAACTTTTCGTCTTTCCCCCATCTGCATTTATTAAAGAAACCAGGTCATTTGTCCTGTACAATCTCCCTCCTGGACTTATTGCTTTCTTGTGGCACGAACTCCTCTCCGATCCCCACATTTCCTGTAAACTGATCATCAGAGAGAGGGCTTGATAGGGTTCGGTTTCAAGTGGTCTTTGCAGGACTGCTTCCCCCTTCCCCCTTCGCTACTCCAGGAGGCGTGTGATGTCTCTGTCTCCAGTTTTAGCGATGTGGGGATTGATCACTGCTTCAGCATCGGCAGTCTGATTAATCCAGGAGAAAGTTCTGATAGGCTCTGCACCTGACGGCTTGAGCGTCAGGAGATCTCGAGTCCCAGTTCCGTGATCTCACTAGGGCCGCATCTAACCCCAACTGTAACTCTTCTGCCTTCCTTGGCTGGAAGGCCTCCTGTGAGGACCTGCTTTCCCTTGCCCACTGCCTGGTCACCCTGAACTGCAGTCCACATAGGCCAGGCCAGACAGATGCTTCATTCCTGCCCTTTATTTGTACACTTGCAGAGTAAGCATTGGTCCCCAGCCAGCTCTAAAAGGGACCAGCACATGGTGCTTGCTCTCGGTGCCATCGTCAACTCAGGGATGCTTCTGTATTTGATGGGACTCAGTCTGCAGCTGCCATGAGTCTTCGGTTATCCAGATGCCCCGGTTATCCGTCCTCTGCCTGTGGGAGCCTTTCAGGTCTGTTCTTGTGCTCAGGAGATAAAACCCCAGTTGTCTTTGAAAGCTTGCTTGTTTTACAAGTATGTCCTGGGTGTATTTTGTCCATATTCTGCTTCAGTCTTGGAATCAGCCGCTTCTCCAAAGACCCCTGGTTCCTTTAATCGGAGGGTGGCGTCTAGAGCCCACAGTCTGGGCGGCCAAGGTGCTCACTGCTCCTGGGGTGTCAGTGCTTCAGGCCTTTTCAGTGGACGGAACTAGGAACTTAGGTTTAAAAATAAAAGTAAACAAATTGTGAGTTTATATCAATATTTAGTTAAGAAGGGAAACAGGGATTTTACTTCTTTGATTTTATATTGTGTCTCTCTACACTGCAAATCTTGGTGGCATTGACATAATTATTTTCGTTATCCCGCAGTGTACGTGTAACAATTCTAAATAGTACCACTGTGTCTACTGACATTGAGATCATTGAGTACAGCTTGAAATTTCTCTCAATTCTTCTCATAATAAGAATTCTTCTTATTAAATATATCCTTCTAGGAATGAATAGTCAGAAGGCTGTTTTTAAAATCACTTGAAATGATACTTTTTTCCGGTCTGGTTATGCCATCAACATGGTAAATAGGTTTATTTATTTCAGTTTGTTTTCAGTTATTAGGTGTTGCTTTTTCTGTGTGTCATTTGGGAAAAAAACACTTTCTTCGTTCTAAAATAAAAACTATAAAGATACATTCAGGGAAGTCTAGCATCCACCACCATCCCTTTGCTTCCTTGTTCTTATTTCCTTCCTCATACAACCATTTTTGTTAGTTTTATTTCTTTTTAAATATAAGAAAATAGGTGTGTTCGTATATCCCTTCCCCACTTTTCTACACAAAAGAGATACTGAACACACTGGTCTACACGTTACGTTTTAATAATAGCTTTATTGAGATATAATTTAAATACCATACAGTTCACCCATTTTAAGTGTGTAGTTTATTAGTTTTTAGCATATTCAGAGATAGGTGCATCCGTCACGACAGTCAATTTTAGAGTGTTTTTGTCATTTCAGAAAGAAACCCCACATCCCTTAGCTGTCATCCCCCACGCTACGCTGGTACCCCCAGGCGGTCACCCCCTCTACTCGCCTCTCCTCGCACCCCCAGTCCCAGGCAGCCACTGACTCTGCTTTCACAGTGGAGTGCCCTGTCCCGGACTTTCGTGTGAGTGGAACCATGTTATACAGAGTCTACTGTGACTAGCTTCTTTCACTTAGTATGATGTTTTCAAGGTCTACCTATGTCGTAGCCTGTGCCAGCACTTCTTCATTCCTTTTTATGGCCGAATCATGTTCCACTGTGTGGACCACGTTCCGTGTATCCGTTCGCCAGTTGGTAGACATTTGGGTTGTTTCCATCTTTTGGGGATGGTGAATGATGTTCTTATGAGCATTTGTGCACACGTCCCTGTGTGGGCATCTGTTTTCATTTCTCTTGGGTACATACCTAAGAGTGGTGGAATTTTCTGGGTCATATAATTCGGTTCAGCTCTTTGAGGAACTGCCGGGCTGTGTTCCCCCCAGCCCCGCCATGCTGCACCTGTCTTCCCTCAACCTGCTGCCCCTGCCTTCCCCCGACGCA